TATTTTATTTAAGAAAAAAATAATTTAAATAAATTTAATTTAAAATTATAATTTTTAGTAATCGAATCCACGCTTCTATAGTGGTTTAAACATAGTAATAAAAATTGTCGGTTTTATTTGGTAATTTTAAATTATACTCAGTTAAAAAAGCACTGCGTTTATATTTTTGCTTTTCTTTCAACGGAGGACTTAAAGGAACAAATGTTCTTTTTGGCAATCTTCAAAAACTCTGATTGGATTTGGATTGACAACAGAAAAATACCATTTTATACGTCGCTATTTGATTAATTTGACTGGAAATATTCAGTAAAAATCATTTTGATTCTATAAAAAAGTATTAATAGAAATGCTGCCAGCTTGCAGCAGCGGTGACTAATGCTAATGTGCAATTTGAATTCCAAAATGCCGGGTTTAATCATCGTGTAAATATTTTTTAGGAAAGTGCTTCATTTGGTATTCAGTTGTGGGCTAGCGATGAAAATTGCCACGTCGAATAACAATTCCAATACGTTTCAATAATTATTTTTATTAATCGATTGTTCTTTAATCATGATGAATTTGACGTTCTTCGAAATCATACGCAAACCTATTAAACGTTATATTACGAATTATACCGGACGTCTATAATTAATTAGTGGTAAAAATACAAAAATCATATCGATACGTCGACATAAAGTTGTGCAAGGTTTATAATTTCACCATTTTAGCCTTGCCTTTTGCGTCCAAACTTGGTAACAACTTGCTTATTTAGAACTGAACACCAATTACCACTTTAATTTGTTTGCCTTTAATTAAGTATCGTTTTTGGGATTACGGCCAATTATCATTGAAATGGACTATTAAAAAAGTTGCTATATTTGGTTTAAAATTTTGCTGGTAGGTGCATCTAACAAGTAGAGAAAGATGTTAGTTTCAAATTGCAAAAAGCTATTTTTATTTAACGAATACCTAATGCTCCTACCACCCACAGGTGGTACCTACGTAAAAGATGTCAATATATGAAGATATATTTCCTTAAACAAAAACCGCAAGATTTATGGTAAATTTCATCATCTATATACAGATTAACGACAAGATCCTATCCGCTTTTTTGACTATATGAGAATGAAAATTGAAACATTTGATTACATTTTAAACCAGTGTAGATAAAAACTAAATAAAAATAGTATCTGATTGTATTGCAGTATTGAGTCGATAGTTAAATTAAACCTCCTAAATGGCAATAGTTAAATTTCACATGATGTTTTGGAAACGGTGGTACCGTGTTAATTGCTTTTAATTAAAAGCTCATTATGTTTTAAAAATGCGTCGATACTACCAATTAGCTTTTAAAAGTTTTACATCGTTAAGGTGTAAGGGATAAAATATAGAAAATCAAAGCCTATTCATTCAAGCATTTCAAACGCATCTTTTGCAGAAATCCAATATTGCGTTCATACACAGAATTAACTTTGTTTCTATAACTTGTGAAATACATTTTCCTGTGAATTGTTACATTTTTTGGATTTTTTTTTCAAGTCTTATTTTATTGTTTTTTGGGGTATTTTAAAATTTTAAAGTTAATTTTAACGAAACCTTTTTTTATGAAATTAATAATTATTAAATATTGTTACAATACAATAAAGATCTTTTTTATTATTATATATTACTGAGATTATAAAAGTAAAAGTCTAATTTGAAACCGTTTGCAATAGAAAAAAATAATTATGACATTTCAATAAAATAGAGCTCACGAGTACATACATACAAAAATGTTTTATTGTATTTATTTAGAGTCGGTTTATTAAAACATTTATCAAAAATATGCTAATCGAATGATTCTTAAACTTAACAATTTAATCATAACAAGTTTGCGCTAATGATGCTTCTAACTATAAACAAACCCTAAGGAAGCCACAAAGTGCGTTACGACATCTCTTTACTTGAGCATCTCAGATAACTCGTAATAATATTTATCAGCGTTGTAAACGCCTGGTTCATTGTTTATTTACTTCAAATTAGGGTCGCGCAGTCGTCAGACAAGGGAAACTGATAATATTTACCTTACTATAAATCGACTCCTGTAAGAATATTAGAAAAATGTGTAAGCGAAAACGTTATTGGAAGCTATCGTGGCGAGTTTTGGTTAAAACTCTTCCAACTTTTTTACAGTACGCGATTAATAACAATTATACCAGATATGGCCCGCAAGTAGTGTTTTATGGCGTGCCAGAGAAAGTGCGCCAAGTTCGATTTCTTTTTTGTTCGGCTTATAAATTATGGAAAATAGCTCTAAACGGTGTAATTATATCTGCAATTTTCCGATACCAGATTTGTTACTTCAAGGTACAACTTGAACAGGCAATACTTTGGCAATTATTTGTAGTATTTGAAATTTGTTTTTTAATCCTTAACATTTCGTTTTAAATGGCGTAGAATACGCATACAACACTTCGCAAGAATGTAAAAAAATTAGATAACGTATAACATCGACTTATCTATCTATTTATTATCATATATGCTAAAATAATTGTTGAAGACGCGAACATAGACCAAGAAAATAAAATCACTTGCCGAAATATAATTGCTTTAGTTTCTTTGGCAAGTTTAAAAGTTTCTCTGATATCCTGAACCGTAGGGACTACTACGGAAAGATGTAGACGGACAATCAACAAAGTTCCAATGCCATGCTGCTTTCTATCCTTCTTTAAAACATTGATCATAAAGATGGAGATACGAATATAGGCGATGATGGTACTCGTTTTTGTGATTTACATTTCTGATTCGTGATCAGTGTGGCTGATCACTTATCGATTCTGAATCTAATGGATTTGTTGAGCTAGCCAGCTATCAGAAATTAAAAAAATCTTCAACCATGTTATACAATCATAATTCAGATGAACAATTCGAAAGTTGTGGTGTAACACCAAAAATAAAAAAGTGCACATGCGAATACGCTTTGAAAACTTAGTGCCTCATTTTGTAAATAATTTTGTGGTTTTAATTACATTGAAGAGTTTATTGAAGAGCCAGTTTTATGGTAAATAATAAAAAATACAAGAAATTTATTGAAAATTTGGTATACGCTATTTGGCTGTATATTTCAGCTATTATTGTCGAGTTATATTATCGAAAACTGGTGTAATAATAAAAGTATCTTGTTATATTATGTCTAATTGTTGTTAACTAGTTTTATAGTAGATATTGGCATAGAACGTGGGCAAAAGGTTATTAACACGGATAGAAAAACACATCTGCTTCGAATTATGTAAAACAAAATGATTCATCGACTCAATTCAAAACGACGCGACGCAAGGCGGCAATGTTAAATGTTAAAAAGGCCAAAAGGGCTCGCAGTACACTTATTAAACATCAAGTTTGCGTTTTTCGAGTGAAAACATTAGAACATTTAGAACAAGATACTGTTAGTACAATGATTATTGAAGTCAATTTTGACTATAGTGGTGTTAACTGACCTCATTTAGAAGTCACGTTTCTAACCGTCAATTTGGTCAATTTTTCACTCCTGAAACTACTCCCATTAAAATGCTTAATTTGCGCTAGTCGGGATCGTTAATAAAACTTTCCTTTTATAGTGTAAATTAATGCAATGCAAATTACATAACATTATGATATCAGGCGCTTTACTTTTTCGTAACACTAGGCAGTAGACTGGAAAAAAAAACTTATAGGTAAAAATTTCGCAAATTTAAAAGTAAACAACTCTCGAAAAAAATTTTTTACAAAATCCCCAAACAAATGATGAAATAAGTTTGCTACTGTACCATCCATTAGAGGTGTGCTATATTTATTTGGTTTAACTATTTCACTGAAATTTTAAAAGCATTTTTCAGTTTTCTCTTACCTAAAAGTGGATCATTAGGGTGCTTCATTTTTAGGCGATTTTTTTTATCCCGGTGCTACCTCAAAATGTGATACTTTATAGAAAATAAAAAATTATACCGCCGGGTAAAAGGCTTTAAGTGCAATAGCGGCATAGCTCATTTAAAAATTCATTTTCCTACTTAAATAACACAGAAAAAATTTTGTTTTGCTACAAAAAGTTCCTTTGCGTACATTCTCCCCGACCAACAGCTTTTAAGTTATAGAGCAGTGAAAATAAATGTTCATTATAATTGATATCAAATCATTTTCAAATTAGGATTTTTTATTTTTACATTAAATAGCAATTAATTATAAACAAAAGAACGCTTTATTTGAGTTATTATATGATTGAAGTTTCTAATTTCCAAAATTATTGTGGAACCAAACAGAGAAAATTATAATTCAATTATTAAAAATATATTGATTATAATTAAATAATAATTAATTATAGACATTTAGAAACTAATCATGTTTGTCATCCAGTGACCACTCTAAAATTTAGTGAACGAATTTTAATTAATAAATAATAATAATAATATTTTAAGGTTTTTATTGACTCAACAGAAACACACAACCATTTGTTTGCCGAAAGTCTTCAAAGAAATTAGAAAAACCAACCGCCGAAGACGAATCACTCTCCACGATGACAATGCAAAAAAAGAACTTTTTGAGCATTAAACACGTTGATTTGATGAGCCATCCATCATATAGTCCGATTTTTGACACCAGAAGAAGCGATTGATGCGTTTAAAGAGCATGTTTTGGAAGTGTCCAAATCGATGTGGGAAAAGTGCTTTGATAATTGGTTTTTGTCGAATGCAAAAGTATTGATCATCATCATCAATAGTGAATATTTAGAGATACAAGTCTTATTTGTTGGTAGCTTATAGTTTTTTATTACAAATCCCGAAATATAATACGTAGCCCTCGTAGTTTGTCCTGTTCATAAAATTTTACCAAATGTAAAATATATGTAAAGAAAACGAGATAAAACCCCCAAAAAATGTTTGACTTTGGCCTTCTAAAAAATGTTAATTGTTCTCATTTGGATGCCGAATTTAGAATAGAATGGATAAAAATATTACGACGCGGTCTCTTTTGGTTATAACTTCATTTGTTGATATGTTTTTTTCCAGTCGTTATTATCTACGAGTAATTACGGCAAAGAGTCGACCCACGCGATCAAAAGGGGCCTCCTGTGGCAGCAACGGGACAAACTTTTTAGCAGATGGAAGGAACGCTACTTTATTCTGACTAGAGACTACCTGCATTGTTTTCGGAGAGCTTCCGGGGCTGACAGGATATCTGAAATGGGTCAGTTCCTCTTCAAAGTGAAGCTGGTTGACGTCGACAAGGTGGAATGGGAGAATAAAAAGACATACAGCACCGTAGCGCTGATCATCGGTAGAGACGGCAAAATTTACTTGAGGTAATGGCTAGTTTTCGATATTGTTTACGGTTATGGCTGAGAATAAATTGTGACAGGGCTGCGGATGGTCTTGAAGATTGGTTCGAACTACTCGAGGAGTGTATGTTGACCAGCAAGGAGAGAAGGAAGGCGTTGAGGTATTCGCATGACGGTAAGCAGAAGGACAACAATAACATTGCCCTTGGTTTGGATGACTGGTTGGCTGCTCGTCAGAAATTTCGTAAGTAAATTACATATTCCATTTTAATACTCAAAATTACATAAATCTTTGCTTTTATTGTCGTAAAGGCATAGCTGAACTTAACACATCATATGTGGTGAAATGAATGAAGAAAATTAAAAAATATATATATATATATATATATATAACCATGTTAATTGCAAAAATGAAAAAAGTTAACGAATACTTATTCTTATTCTGAAGCTTGTCAATTTGTTAGCAGAAATAACTGGATATTTAGCTCACTATAAATCTGGGTCCATTCAGACAATTCAAGAAACACTGCCCAACAATCTCTCGCGACCGTGTGAATATAAAAATCATTTAGACGTTTTTCAAATTTAATTTCCTACATTCAGTTTCTTGTCCATATTCATTAGCCAGAAGTGAATACAATCAGTTGCTCGTATTCGAAAACACGAGTACAAAGCGTTTCTTTGCCTCCGCTGCTCGATTTTTTTTATTTTCAGTGTAATTAGCAGATAGTAAAACCCCCTTTGCTTTATATCGGGATTTTTCCTCCGCGTTGCAGCTAATTTCGCAGTCTAGAAAGTTTTTAGAGTGCTGATGAATCGTCGGCGTTTTTCTAATAGCTCCACGTCGTTGACGTTTTAGTTAGTTAGGTTAATGTTTTAACGACGAGACAGAGAAAGTTTCAATTAAGGTTTTTGTATAATTAATATTTTTTTCAATGGAAATTTGCTTTTTTCATTCAAAATATTTCCGGTTTTTCAATCGAATTGTACAGGGCGTCCAGTTTTGGGCACTTTCCTGGGTTATCAAAATATCCGATCGCTCCCAACCCCTAAATAAAATATCTAAAGCTAATGATTCAACGTTACTCTTTGTGCACGCCTGATCGGTGCATAATTTTTTTATATAGAGTAGGGAGTAAAAAAAATAATTGTAAACGAATCAAACCAACTAATGGTACCTACCAACCAAATTTTAACATTTAAGGTTAAGTAATTTCTTGAAAAAGAAAGTATAGTCATTAAAATAATTTTTCCTTTTTTTAATTTAAGAAATCTAGATTAGAGAACCGTTTTATGCGGGCTGACGAACATTCTCAACATTCAAATCAAAAAAGTACATTTAATTTGGTCAAAATATTAAACTAACCAAGATGATACTTATCTTTCGAGGTCCGATGACAGTTTTGGTTACAGCGTCTTCCATGAAGAAAAAAAATTTTACCCTCATCACGTTTATGAATAATCTACAAAAATATATATATTTTATTATTTTTGTTACACTCGTTATAATAGTTAGCCTCTGATTAGAAAAAAGGCTAAATACTTTTGACTACTTATGAAATATATCTCGTTTAATAAAAAAATATGATTGTTTGCGACTTTATGGGACACCTGGTACCTGATTAGTTTCCCCATTAACGAACAGTAAAGTTTTCATGGTACATTACATTTCATTTGTCAATGGTGGATCGGTAAAGACCAACCTATTAAAAATTAGCATAAAATATACGGAATCTCCCATTTAAAGCTTGCACAACACTATAATTTGTTGATGTTGTCCAAGTGATATATTTCTTATTTCAATTAATATAAATATTATTTATTTCCAGCGGTAGGACGACTGCTCGCAGACAGTGTGGCCAAATCGACACAGGAATCCTCTTGTGATAGGCGTAGAGACTGGACACCCAGGGAGGAGGACTGGGAACATCCGACTTTGGACAATAGATTATCGCGTAAGTACTTTTTAAGCGTGTATTTATAGTGTTGACGATTTACGATACTTTTTGGGAGTTTCGTATATTATGCGCACATTATTTTTCAAATTGCGATAGGTTTATTGAGGGCAGCCAAACAAGGATCTCGGGGCCGTAAACGCAAATGGTTTTTTCAAAGTAAAACTCGTAAGTACCCGACCACGACAGGGTCAAATTTCGTGTGTGTGACGTCACGAGGGGTACATGTTTCGGGAATATTTTATTCGTCCATGTATATCAGGCGCGTTTTATGGTTTTTTAGTTGAGGGCTTAGTTTTCTCAATTTGTATTTTGGATTGTCTGCTTTCTGTTTGTTTTTCCACAGGACACATTATTATATAGATACCTAGATAGATTACATTTAACACTTACTTTATAAAACTTAAATTTTAATTGAATTTGAATAACATTTAAACTGGCACAGAGTTAAATTTTATTGATAGGCACTTCTCTATTTTACACAATTTACCTAGCTATCGGTTAATATTATTTAACATCAAAAATCACAGATCAAAGAAATCATAAATAGACTAATGCAACTTTATGAATCCTGGTCGCCTACTGAGCTGACCTATGATGGAAATGTGAAGGAAAGTTTTATTATAACATATCTAGGTTCGGCTCAGGAGACAACCAGGATTTATGAAAATGTATTATTTGAAAAATATAAAATTATGATTGGTTTCTGTCTATCATTTCTCTTCTTGTTTTTTGTGCATATCTGAGTTCCTAGTTAGCTTGGCAACTATTTTAAATTCCACCTTGTCTAACTTTTTGGATCGCAAATATTCGTTTTTTAGAGATATTTTTTGAATGTAATTTTGTTTTAAACATTGTTTCTTATTTTTTCCAATTTTGTTTATTTTTTTTATTTTTATCTCAATCCACTGACAACACATTTCTTATTTGCTTATCGTATTTGAATACATAATTTTCTCGGTGATTTGTAACTAATGAAAGTCATTTTAAACTTGGAGGTGCCATATTAAAGGAAAGTGTATTAGTAAAATTCATTACCGAAACCAGTAAACATTTTAATCGACTGTAAAAGATTAATCCTAATTTTAAACATAATTTGAGTTAGGTGTAAAATTAAGATTTTTTCTGCCATATTGAATTTTGAGAATAATGCCACCCATGTAATTTAAAAAAATTGCAACCTTTAAGAAAGTGCTTACAAAAAAACTAATCAAACAACTGTTCGATTGTTTTCGTGGACATTTCAATAGGACTGTTTTAAAAAAAAATTATTATCCCATAAATACTAGCTTACAATTTTTGTGCTGAATTTTCTCTCGTCTGAATTATTTAGTTAAAATTTCAGCAATACTTGCCAGATGGAACTTAAATACGTACCCGCCTTTTTTTTAATAGCGTCTTTCATTTTGCCATAGAAATTACTTTCTAAATGAGATCTACGCGCCAAAGAATTGAGAGTGCTTGAAATTGATTGAAAAAAAAACGCAATATCGAAAAGTGATGTTTTAAAGGAATCGAATGTATACGACGCGTTTTTTAAACCAGTAGTTCTTTCGATTTGTTCAGCGTACCTTGAAAAATAATCACCGAGAGAAATACGAAACGCGGAAAGAAACGTTTGCGATGTAAATTAATATTTGGTTCGCTGGTCGTCGCGGCGCTCAAAATAATTTTTAATCGGCTACAATAATGGGGTCTGGGAGCGACCCAAACTTCTTGCTTCGAAGGAGATCGAAAACGAGTGCGACGATTTAATTTATTTTTCTTTCTTCAGTGCTTACCGACATAGATATCAACAGCTACGATGACAGTACCTTAGGCGCCCCTTCAGTTACTTCATACAGGTTGAGTAGGGATGTGTTGTGTGTACAGCCACCCTCTTTAAGAGCAGCCGGCTCTTTCAGGTCGACCAAGGAGGGCGGGAACCCTCCGGCAAAGAGGAACAGTCCGATGGTAAACGTACCGGAGGGTCAGTGCCAGTACATCAAATTCAGAGGTCAGTGTACATATCTCACTCAGAAACTCTAGTTTTTTGAAAAGTTTAGTGAAATTTGTAGGTTTTAATAAAAGATTTAATTGATTATCTTTTCATAGACCGGGTGACACAAGAAAGTGGGAACACTTGTTGTTGTTTTAAACGGCTGGAAGGGTAATAATTTTTTGACAATATGTAGTCAATGGTTGCACTTCCAGTAACTTTCGAATTTTAAATGGTACAACCGATATTTTTTCATTTTTTAGTTCACGATGTCATTTTACGTAGGTTAGGACAGTTTTTCCCATTTTGTTTTGTTCTTTAAAATTTTTATTTAATTTTTGAAAATTGTGTCTAGGAGGCTGTGACCATCATCAATACTATTTATCGGGTCACATGATCATGTGAAAAATTGGAAACGAAATGACAAATAACATTTTTTGAAATAGCACCCTAGTGAAAACAATCGGTATTTTTTTTTACACCAAAATTTTCAAAATCCGTTAATAAGCTCGCAGGAAGGAAAAAAGCAGATAAGTAAATACATTTTTATAAAAACAAAATATTACTTACATGTCGTGTTATCGAGTTGGAATATCATGGAAAACAATGATGATCAATATACAAATGGAGAAAAAGTTGATATGTTTCTGATATATGGGGAATGCAGAAAAAACTCTCGACAGGCCCGTGCATTGTATGCAGCCCGCTATCCGGGACGTCGCATTCCTGCACATTCTTTCTTTAGAAAGCTGGAATTGAAAATGAGAAATCCACGAATTCATCGACATGATAATTTTATTATAAGTGAAAATCAATGTTGTGGGATACGTCAACGTAAATTCCGCTGCGTCGCTAAAAGAAGTGGCATTAGAATTAGAGATCTCAAGAGAATCTGTGAGGATAATTAACTTAATTTTGTTCATTGATCACAATACTATAATAATACTATGTTTAACCGACAGAACAACATATACTGGTCTTTAAATAATCAAAGAATTATTTGTCCCGGACAGTTTCAAGAACGGTTCGGAATCAATGTTTGGGCAGGAGTGATAGACGACTTATTGGACCTGTTTTTTTTCATGGTGCCTTAACTGGTGCACGATATTTACAATTCCTAAGAAATGAAATTGAAGACTCGTTATATGATTTGCCTCTTTCCATGACATTAAATTAAAAAACAGCAGGTTGGCTCGCCTCCCCATAATTTTAGAAATGTGACTGAACACCTACGTGATGTTTATGGGGATAGACTAATCTCAACACACGGTCCAGTCAATTGGCCCTTACGGTCACCGGACTTGACACCGTTAGATTTTTTTGTTTGGGAGTACTCGAAAGACAGCGGAGAATATCAGCTGCATTTTTTTATTGTAACTCCCGAAATGTTAGGAAGGGTTACAGCAAATGTAATTTCTAGAGGCAGGGAGTGTCGTATACATGAAGGAGGTTATTTTAAAAACATTCTATGGAAGTTCTATCGCACTCATTTAATTCAAATAAATAGAAAACTCCAGTTGCAAAATAAATGAATGTTATGTTTTGTGTCAATGTAAAACTTGCCTTACAGTAACACTCTTTCAAGTTGATTCTACGGACAAAAAGTGACAGATTTGAAAAAACAAAAAAAAAGAGAAAAATCGTTACGTTCTACGTAGAATGATCTCCTGAATCCAAAAATGCAAAAAAATATAGGTTCTGGCATTTAAAATTCGAAGGCTACTATCGTTTCCGCTCAAAAAGGAGGTGCAATCATTGACTACATATTGTCAAAAAATTCAGTCCATATTAGCAATTTCAAATTTCAAATCGCTATTTCAAGCCGTTTAAAAGTTATAGAGTGTTCCCACTTTCTTGTGTCACACGGTATACTTGTCGTTCACGGACTTTTACTTTTTAATTTATAGTGGGATATTACATATTGGGTTATTATATATTTAAATAAGTAAATTCGCTAAATAAAGTTTTCTTTCACAAGCGTGTGAGACAGACAAAATACCTTGTTTGCTTTTATTGCACATGCTCAGACATATTTTTAATATTTAATATTTTCTTATTTCCGGAGCGATACTTGTGCCATCTACGTTCTATCAAGTTAAAACACGGTAGCAGTAGGCTTATGCACATTGACACCGATTGAGATATTCTTGTTTAGACGACTGGTTTCAGTTATTTTTTGGTTGCATATGAGATTTTGTGAGAGAATTTGTTTGTGGCGACATAAAACATAAAAGTGGTTGTGAATCAGTTAGACGTTACTGGGGATTATCAACGAAACTGCTATTTTGATATATAATGTGGGTAATTTAAGAATTGCAGTCCAATCGTAAAGAAAATTACGATCAAACATTAATAATAATTTGTGTCGAAATTTTTAATGTATTTTTTTTGGAAAAGTAAATTCTCGAGTGTTTAGTGATTTTCTTAAGGACCTATTGACTATAAGATCAGACGATTATGCTCAGGAAGTTTTTTTTTTTAATTTTAAATAAATTGTTAGCGGTTCAGCGTTTTCTCTTCTTTCTTAGCTAGGCCTTGAAATCGGCTACTTGCTTCTCAGCAAACGAAACTTACGTCACTATTATGTTATTTCATCAGTTTTCAATTGCATTCCAGCCTGCTGTAAATAAGTAATAATGAAGGAAGGAATTTTAAATATTTTTAATTCTTCAGTCTTTCGACTTTAACCTTTACTTTTGATTTCAGAACGTTCTTACAGCGACATACAGCACATCGAGAAGAAACCATGGAGGGCGTTAGCGTTGCCCCGCCAGTAAAATAGCAATAAGAGTAATTGTGCAATACCCTAGTCAATATTTAAACTTAATCTGCACACGCAGGTACTCACGAAAAAAGAAGGCGCCACTCATCACGGAACGTTTTCGTTAGTAAAAAGGTTTTATTTTTAAAAAATTTTTATTGCGTGTTACAGAACTGTTTGACTTTTTTTACTTAAATAGTCCAGACTATTATATTAGGATTTCTTGTGTTTTTAGTTTAATTTTTCAGTAAAAACATTTTGTCAAAAATTTCTGACTGAGGACCAACTGTGTACTCTGATCTCTTTCTTCTAAAATCTGCATAACAAAATATTTTCACCAAAGATTTATTTGCGACTGATGCACCAATTTTATACTTGCTCACTTAAGAAACGTTCTATTTATTAGCTCTGTTTTTTGTATGTATATATGTAATAATTTGCATGTGTTCCAATAAAATATCAGTTAAATTATTGTTGTAATCAAATTCGCGGTCGCTAAATAAATAACAAGCAAGTATACGTCGAATTGAAGTTTTATTGGACGTTTTGTACAATAGAAATATTCACAAGGGACTATATCTTAATAATTATAATAAAAAAAAAACAAAACATTAACATTGAATAATTTAAATTGTTAATAAGTTAATAAAGAACAATCAATATTAGAAATGCATTAAATGCGCGGAACAAGAAGAAAACCCACTGAGAAGATCAGTACAATAGACATAAAATACTATTTACAAAACAAAAAAGTATTTGGGAAAAACAACAGATTGGAATATTAGAATAAATAGAAGTTAGATAAATAAAAAGCAACGGAGTTATGTCTAACCTATATTGATTCTAATAGTGTATCTTCATGTTAAACAAATCGTCTTCAACACCAACTCCAGTATTCAACTCACTCTGTTAACAAAAACGATGAAACTGTTACAATATTTTTGATTTTGAGATATTAGTTTATAAATTGATTTTTATCAACTCACTACTTTTAGTGTCTTCTGCACACCACATGTCAATCTAAATGTCTTTTTCTTAACAACAACTTTTCATATAGTGATAAGAAAAATATGTATGTTGATTTGACAGAGTCTAGGAGGATACAATAAACAAAACTAAACCTGAACCATTCTAAAAAATTAACTCAAATAGTTATAAAATCTGATGAAAAAATTACTTGCATTTTTTCCAAAAAAACAAGTGATTTATTTTCTGATTCTATTTATTCTTATTGTTTTTTTTTTAAGACACACACTCTGTTTATGGTTTTTCTGAAATGTCGAATTCTTGTGGAGAACAAGAACAGAGACAATTCCATATGCAGGGATTAAAAATTGTTGCAGTATTTCATAGTCAGTTTACTCATTTTAGTCCACAAGAGCAGCAGAATACCCTGCGTCCAAGAAAAAAAATATACACTATTTTACAAATCAATAAAAAAATATTCAACATTCTAATGACCATACAAAAAAATTATAAAAAAAAGGAAACTATATACAGGAAGACACTTTTAACTATTCAAAAATTTAATTTCTAATCACTCTATCTGCATTATTGCTCATGAAACTTTTTCTTGTAACGATACCGCGTTTAATTTAGTTTCTTCTTAACTTGCCCGTACGACTATTGCTCTCTCCGAAAGAATGCGACCAGGTCTGTAAAATGAGATCTAAATTTCGTTTTTTATTGCCCTATTTATAGGCTTATTAATTTGCAACTTCAGTTATACACAAAATATATTCAAGTTTTGGTTTCCTTTTATCTTGAGTAAAGTCAAATGAAAAAAGTCATCTCCATAAAAAGGACATTTTCTAAGCACTAAAAAGTCTTAACAATGTGACTGATGGTAAATTAAACTGCTGGGATAAACACAAAACCTTCAAATTTCCGTTGTGTCTGGAAAATTAGGATCTTGATTTAATTAACAATATAAATTTAATTTTTAACTTAAAAACCAAGTGAAATTTGATATCAATGCACAACAATCTTCAAAAGGCATAAAAAAATATGACTGAGGAAAGCTAGTTGTCTACAGATTTGCAACAAATATTAACCTATTTCTAATGTTTTATGTATGTATTTGTCTCGACGTGATTTTTGTGATGTTGCTTTGTTAAATTTGTAGGACTCAGTTTGCAATAAAAGATATTATTATAACATAATACTTACCATTTCGGAGATTGCGATAGTCGCTCAACATATAAACAACCATTGTAGAAACTCATATTAAACCACCAAACAACGCAAAAATTCTTTACGATTCTAATTAGGGCTAGCGTCTTTGTACTTAGGATAATATATATACGTATATATATATAAAAACGAAACAATCTGATTGTCTATGGACATTTAAAACTAATAAAAAAATATGATTCTTCTAATCTTTATCCATACATATAAATTATTATGTATGCGTCTATATACAGGGTCGATCGCTAATAATTCTTCCTTTTTGGGAGAGCTAATGGAAGTAACTGGAACGATTGTTTTTTCTTTTTTAATTAACTTGGTGCCAAAACTACACTACATTAACTTTTATTAAGCAAGTATGAGGTTGATATTAAAGAGTCCCATAAAATTAGCGTCATTAATTATCGGTCGACACAATAATTCCACGTTTTAAACAGAAATTAACAGTAACACGTCCAGCTACCTCTACTAACATATGTAGCATATCTTGGTGATCTACTGTACTGATCGACCAAATCAATAACCAAAAACGACCATGTACAGGACTTGCAATTTCAAAAATTTTATATTCAGAGACACCTGTTTGACAATAGAACGCGAAGCCACAGTCGCCCAAATAGGCGACACCAAAATCGGTTGCTTACTCGATTTTTAAAAAATCGGTTAGTGTCAAACTAGCCATGTGAGGAGTCCTGTATTTGGCTCACACACACTCCCTTATGCGGTAGATATATATTTAGAATTGTTACACTGGTGTTCCTTAATTGCTTACATAATAAGTGACAGTCTTACATTCTGAGAATCTCCGGGGGTGTACATCCTGGATAAGTGCTCGGCTAAGGGACGGTCGCTTCGCTCGATATACACCTAAGCATTAGGTTAGGGTCTAGGTTCATTCGAGAGGCCAACAAGTAGTTATCATCGCCGATCGGCGCGGCCCTGCAATAAATATCTTGTCGTTATGTCAAGGTTACAAATTAAATAGACAATGTAAAAACAGAACAACCACTTACAAGCTGCCATATTTAGTATTTCTGTCTAGAGCCCTTTTGTATATCCGATGTCGTTGCTCAATCTGAAAAGCGACCTCGCGCAGCTGCTTCAAGATATCGCAGATAGCAAGCCCTCGTTCCTCCAGCAACTTGATAGATGCTTCCAGGGGCTGTATGTGACTGATTACGAGTGAATGGATCCGCTGGAGGTCCCGTTCGGGATCGAGAGTCATGTGATAATTGTTACTGTCGACTTGGGAGACCTCGCTGCAGCCCGGTGCCAACTCATTTGGTGACTTGCAGCTGCAGGATTGCAAAACTTAACGATTGTGCGAAAAATAATTTCTTACATTCATAAATATTAACTAAAACGTTTCAATTTTGAGTGATCAGCATCCACGTTATCCTTTAAATATGGTGTAAAACTTATATATAAATTGTGTAACATTGATCAAAGCAGTAAATGAAGCCATGTTAAACAATTTAATATTTTCTGGCTGAGATAAATATGAAAAGCGTTGCAATTTTTATAGACTAACGTATTGAAAGACTGATTTCTAGTATTCCATAGGGATTATTAATAGAAAAGAAAATCACATTCACAGTTGCATTACATATAAAAAATTTGTAACTAATAAAAAGAGACGTTGACAACTACACTAAAATAAACGTGGCATTAACTTTAATTTGTAAATTTACAATTTGCATTGCCAGAAATCACAGGATTTTTCTGTTTGACATTTTATGAAGTAAATAAGACGATGGGCTATGCAGCTCTGATCAGTTCCAATAGATTACTTTCTCTTGGAAACAATGTCTGCTACTACAAACCTTCAAACTCACGGATACCCAATTGTTGCATTGTAAATATGGATAGGGTGACCAATATAAGGTAACCCTATCCCTTATCTCAGAATATACAGGCTGTACGAAAAAATCTTAAATACAAAAGACATCTGGTTTGAAACGACAAACCCACAAATTTCATAATTTTATCTTATTTACCATTAAAAATAAAGATAAGTGTGTACAAGGTTGTCTATGCCGAAAATGTTTAGTTTTTGAAACATTGACAAATTCTTATCGTTATATGAAAATTTTGCTGCGGGTTTCAAGTTTCAATTTATTCTTTGTTGGCTATGAGAGCGCATAAAATCAATCATATTCCAAAGAAAAATATTAGGCTGAGAGTTACAATTTCAAAATTACCAATAATTTTTTTACTTAAATTTGATAAAATGTGCCATATTTTTGGTTAAAAAAACTATAATATATCAAGTTTCGGCAATTCTTTTTATTATGAACTAAAAATAGTATTACAATAAATTTTCAAAATGCTAGCCAAACACGTCGTATATATAGTTTCCAATTTATTTATAGCATCACTAACCATATTAGATCTATTGATATCTAGTATTTTCTGCATTATTTTGTCTTTTAAATTCTCCCTATCTTCAATCCGATTTTGAAAAACCTTATTTTTGAGGTTTCCCCATAGAAAGAAATCTAAAGGCGTCAAATTAGGGCTACGAGCTGGCCAAGTTGGAAATCGGTTGTTCAGTCAGCTAATAACAGGTCTGGACGTATAATACGGAGCACTATCTTGTTGAAAGAGCGTCAAGAAGCGGATAAAATCTGCGTAGCTAGTAGGTTTAAATTCATTAAATATCGGCCCAATAACTCTGTTAGATATTATACCACACCAAACAAATACACTTCTGTAATGCTGCTTCTGAATAATTTTAACACGGTGTTTCTTACTAGAAGACCAGTAGTAGCTATTTTTCCTATTAAAAATGTCGGCCGTATTAAAAATAGCTTCATCAGTCCACAATACTTTTTCAAATATATTGGATTCAAAGTAACGGTCCATCACTAGAGCGCAAAATGTTGCTCTTGCACTCTTATCCTCAGCTGTTAACTGAACAGGGAGGAATTTAAATGGAAAATTATTATTTACTTTCAAAGTGTTTTCAATGCTACTTCGATTTACTTCTGGAATGTCACGCCTTGGGAACTTTGTTAGCTCTCCTGAAAATACAGCAGAATATCTCATTGTTTTTCTTGAGTAAGGACAGTTATCGGTTTCATTCTGGTGTTTATTATGACTGAACCATTTTGTAGGTCACACACTATTCTACTAAAAATCTGTTTAGTGGGTAATCCGCTTGCTGGATATAACTGCCGGTACTCTCGAAGAGCCAAAGCTGGACTTTCATTATTGGGAATAAAGCACTCATATAACTTTAAGCGCTCTTCAACAACGTAGTAATAAAATAAAAACGATGAAATGTGATATTCTCGGCTTTTTTGTTTATCTTGGCCTTCTTGACTTTTTATTCGTTGACAAATATAACAAAGCTTGAAACCCGCAGCAAAATCGTTATATAAGAATATGAATTTGTCAATCTTTAGAAAACTAAACATTTTCGGCATAGACAACCTTATACAAACTTACCTTTATTTTTAATGGTAAACAAGATAAAATTATGAAATTTGTGGGTTTTCACTAAAAAAAAAAGAAGATTTTTGGAAGTTTTCTTAATTTGGTATTTAATCTTACTTTTTTGAACACCCCGCATCATTAGTTATCGAAATATTACACAAATTCTATTAAAGTAAGTTCTTGTCAACAAGGTATTAAACCCAAATTAAAAAATAAAGTTTTCCTTTTAGGAAAAATTGGTATTTTTCTTAGGGCCTGCAAATGACATATTTGAGATAAAAACTTAAATATGTTAAAAACCATTAGAACATTATATATGAAATTTTCCTAGAAACTTGAGTAGAATCCAAACATGTATTAATATACAGGATGTTCCATTAAAAAAAAAGAAGTGGCGCTTACCCAAGCAACACTGAGTGCGAGAGTATATGCGAAAATAAAATACAATAAAACTTTGTTGGAAACAAATGACATTTGTATTTAAGATTTTTTTCGTACGCTCTGTGTATTCTGAGATGAGGTATAGGGTTACGTTATATTGGCCACTTTATAATGCAGAACAGTAATACGACAACACAGGTATTTAATTTTTACCTGTTATTTGGTAATCTACAGTTTACCATATGCTTAATGTTTAATGTTATGTTTAAATATATAAAACTTACCACATCCACTCGCCATTGATAAATGCTGATGGATGATACTTTTTTAATCGATTGGCGTTAGTTTGACAAATTTTAGTTAGCAGATCCACCCACTCCTTTTCCTCCACACAGTTAGCCGCCTGAACATACAGCGCCCTCTCGGGCTGCACGATTTGGAACATATTTTTCATTTTAAATGATGTCTCGGCCAATCTTTCGACAGCCAGGATATTCGAGAGCGGTATCACACACAGCGCTTCCTTCCCTTTAAAAAATAAATAGACCATTGCTGGGTTAATCCGATACATCCGAGACGTAAAACACTCACCTCTGCACTTCGAATAGCTGAGGTTATGCGTTGTCAGTTTGAAGTAGCGTTGTTTAAAATTTTTCCTGCCGAAGCGCTTCCTACCTTGGGCTCTTTTTATCATTAACCTAAAATAAAGGCATAATTGTATAGCATAATCACGCAAGACGCGACGTTGAATAGTTGCAGTACCTTTTTATCTCCCTAATTGCATTAAAAAAAAAAAGAAAGGAAATCATTAATTGATAACGTGTTTAACTGGATTAATTCAATTTTTATGCTTACCCTTCTTTGAGTGTGACCGGTTTGTCGTTTTCGATTATCTGCGGACTAGATGTGTTGGCGGAAATTATTTCGAGAAATTTCCGCATGGCAGTTTTGTGTGTTTCAGTGCCGAATGCCTTGTAAAGGCAATCCATGTACTCCTCCTTGCAAACTTGCTGCGTTGATCGACAACTCACCTGCAGAAGAATGAGCAACCGATCTGGTAATGGTTATAAATAATCTAAAGTCGTTTTCAGGATTCAGGACCCGATATCGGTTAAATTAGGGTTGTTTCGTTTTTCATGCTTTTTACAAATTTGAAAAAAAAAAACAGTAGGTCCGTTTATTCTCCGAACTTTATTTTTAATGTTTGTATGAGAACCACGTCGTTATGTCAATAAATGCAATAAAGCACATATTTTTTATATGTATATCTTTTTAATGTCGCTATTATTTATGTAATAATAATAGGCATAAAGTCATAGTCACAAATACTTTTCACACTTTTTTTAATAGTATAAAAGCTATGATCAGTCACGCTTACGGCACAGGTCAATTAAGAATATATCTTCGAAAAGGGTTTATCTAGCTAGCACTCCGCAAAACATTCTACAGTGAACTCCGGTTATAAAGTACCCTCTAAGGACCAGAAAATGAGTACTCTATAAGCGCAAAATTTTTTTGTAGGTACGAACATATTTTTATTTTATATGAAAATAGAAAACTAATAAACACTAATATAGGTACTAAAAATGAAAGAAACTAAACTGCCTACACTAAAAACTATATAAACTTTACAACATACAAGTACATACTTTATTCTTTTTGAGAAATTCGCTATTTTTTCTCAATACAAATTTTATATTCTCCCTGAAGTAACATCATTCCAACATTGTGCAAGTAATTTTATGGAGTCTAGGAGAGTGATGTTGAAAGGTTCCTATTTTCAAATGACTGGATCAAAGGATACAGAAAATATCTGCCTGATCCATTAGATTTTTTGGATGAGCTTGTCAACCAGAGGCAATATTTTGCTATTCTGACGTATTAGTTTTTCATCCTAATAATTACAAAAAATTGCTGAAGTCATCCTGCTCGCTGGTTCGACTTATAAATGACAGGTAGATTTTTCACATTTTTCATGCATCTCGGTCGTTCATATTTACCAATAACAAGAAGTTTGATTTTTCGCTTCCTGTCACATTTGCACAAACCCAAACGGTGTACCTCAACGTCGACTGCTTCCCACCTAAACACTTTTCTCCTCTAAATTTAAGGGTACGATCTGGAGTCATTTTCTAAAATAGCCCAGTCTCGTCAACATTGAAAATATCCTTACAGCTGTAATTTTATGCAATACTGGACCACTTATCCTCTAACCAGTTCAACATAGCACCAGAAATTTTTTGTTGTGAAGAACTTTAAAACGTTCGAGCCAACCTGTAGAACAACTAAATTCCTCACCCTGTAATCCCCTGGTTAATTCTTCGGCTTTCGATTTCAGAACTGGACCACTTAATGCAATATTTTCGGATCTTCGAATTTGAAACCATCGTTAAAGAGCTTTATCTACATCTGAACGTACAGCATTTCTATTTTTTTTTAATACTGTGCAATTTACAGTTACTTGCTTTCTTGAACTTTTCGCGATTTCGCGATTCGAAATTGTAAATATTGTTGTTTTTGCCAATTTCTTTTGTCCAGCAATTTCCCCCTTACCGATGCCACTCTCAATACTTCTGATAATCTCCATATTTCCTTTTACATTTTTTTAAGACGCGCTGATCCGCCATTTTAAACTCAAAAAATCGTGCTAGCCCACCATTCCGTAAAACAATAAGAGAAAACCTCGCAAATGATTACTGAAAATCCCCAATTTTTTCGGGGAACCACCGCTCGATAATCCGGTTTTAGCGTACACTCGTACTTTATAACCAAAATAGTGAAAATATTGTACTTTATAACGGTAGTAGAAGTTAATTAAAGTAATATTCGATGAAAAATCAAGACTATTTTGGACGGACCAGTAAAATATGTACGTAATACCCGAAAATCCGTTATTTTCCATGTACGTTATAAACGGAGTTTACTGTATATAACACACATATTAGAAACTTTAATAACTTTTCTTTTCAAATTTATGGATATTAAAATTAAGTTTAACTACCGTTTCTAAGAACTTAACGGTGCGATTTAAATGTGTAATACCCCGTATAAATAATTGATATATTCAAAAATGCAAAACTCACCAAATTGCCCAGCGACTGTATGGTTTTCGAAATCAGCGTCAGCGTTCTGTTGGTCTGGCAGTCGATCGCTTGCGTCGTCAGATCAAACAGTCGGGGGCCCAAAATGGCGGGAGCGAAAAATCGCAGAAAAATAAATCCCGATATAACGGAATACCGCACCTCCTTGTTGTTCGGGAAGTACATCATCGCGCACTCTTTCAAATTGTGGAAAATTTGGCACATGAGCGCCGGACAATGAACCGCACTCTGGGTGATGTCGTCGAAGATCTTCTGGATATAGTATTTGAGGTTGCTGAAGTTCGTCTGAATCGTGTTGGGGTCTTTGACTCGCGTGGGGTCGATCTCGCACGGCTTCTTCTCATTGAAGATCTCCTCTAGTGTCGGGCGAAGAGTTTTGTGGAGGTACTGGAGGCCGATCAAACGCATCGCTTCGTCCATCATTTTCGAGACGAGAGTGTTGCCTCGGAATATGGTCGTCGGGTCGCTAAAATTGAAAACCATGATCGATGCTCACAAATTTTGGACAGAATTTGAAATAAATAGACGACTGATTATTACGTAGCTTGGTGTGAATGCTCTATAATTTTGTTAGATCAACTCTGACGTGATTAGTGATATGTTGTCAGCAACACCATAAGATCAACTAATATATGGAATACAGAATGAAGATGTTCGGGAAGCATTAGATAAAGAAAGTATTTCCTGTAGAAATTGTTGTTATAACAATACGAATTAAAATTTAATTTTCTTATATGGATTTGACGAGTTAAATTTTATTTAGAATGAGAAAGGTAATTAGTAATAAAGATTGTTTTCTTTGCCCTACAAATTAACACTTAATAGGAGATAACTAACTGTAATAAGAGATTTTTTATAATGACATGAATTTTTCTATTTGTTGATTTTTAAAGATTGACACGCATTTTGTGAAATAATTTCCACAAACATTTTTTAAAATGATAAATTCTTGTGTAGCAGATGGTGGAAGTAATGAAGATATATAACGGGCAAAAGAAAGTTTTTTTATGGGGTCACACCTTTTGCATATTACATGATCTAATTTGGTTTTGAAAATAAATTATAACTCATCAATTAAATATATATAATTATATAAAGTATTTCCATGTAATGATAGGTTATTGTATTAGTGTGGTACACGACTTATTTGGCACTAGTGGAGCGCAGCCGTTGCAAAACTTGTTGCATAATATACAGTATATACAGTTTTATCATTTGTATATGACATGGCAATAGTATATTATGCAACAAGTTGGGTAAACGGCATTTGACTCACGAGTTTATTTGACGTGAGCGGAGCGAGTGTTTAATAAATGAGTGACTTAAAAAGTTTACCGAACGTGTTGCATACTATACTTTTTGTACGGGGGTACATTTTCTCAAAACACGAATACATTCACTGGCATGACCGTCAGAATTGACAAACGTCAAAATTCAAGGCGTGGGAAATACCTCCGAAAGCATCCGATTGCTTCCAAACCCGTTCGGTAAAATCCGGGAAATGTCCGAAGTGGCTACGATCCGTGGGAAACGAAACTGACGTCGTAAAGTGACGCACGCTAGATTGGTGTGTAATTAGGTAATTAGGTATTTTAGAAAAATATATATTTGCCTATATTATATAGAAATAAATAACAAATCAGTATTTGGCATCCTTTTAATTATTGATTTAAATCCGTTTTTTTTTTAAATAAAAAGGATTGGTCAAATGTACATATTTATTTTTTTATGACACTTGTAAAGACTTACTTTAATATTATGCATTTGTAGGTATATTCATATATTAATATCAGATATCTAAATAAAATATTCTTTGATCATCAAATAAATATTGTGCAAATTATTTCAGTAAGAATACATCAATGAACAACTATCCCCACTAGATATAGATAGAGATATTTTTTTTAGATCGAGTTGATTGCATCATTATAGAAGTAACTGGGAAAGGTTTTGGTTTTGTTAAATATTGATATGAAGATTTTTAGAAAGAAAATCGTAAAAGCGAAAAATTTAACATTCGTCTGTTTCATACGTAACATTTAATCTGATTATGCTTGTTCCACTGTAGGTGAACTACTAGAATCTTTTATATTAAGTTTAAGTTTCGTTTAATGAGTCTCGTCGTCTCGAAACATTTATTTATAAATTTCCTTCAACCAAGCATTCAGGCATTTGGTCTCGTAATCTATAAAATCGATAGTGTGTTAGTGTGCTGTAATTAAGCATTCGGGACGCGTGATCCCGCGGCGGCCTGCCGAATAATCGAACGGTAATCGTGGATTTGATCAGCTCGACCGGACATTGTAAATTCATTTCGGTATTTGTCGATCCATGTTCTCATTGTTAATTGTTGTGCATTATTTGCATATTATGTGCCTGGCGTGCAATTATCAATCGGATTATTCGCTCGGCTGTACATTGACGTCGTTACAAACGCAACGATGTAAAAATTTGAATTGCAAAGAAGTTGAATTTTATCTGTTGAAAAATCCCAAATGTGTGGCGCAAACATCTTTTAAAACACATATTCTCAATTGCCAATAAAATGTTGTAAAATTTGGAAAAAATAAAAAATCCAAAAAAACGTTTTCCTATTATAGCATATATCTTTTAATCTGCATATACATTCTAAAATTTTAGTAAAGCTCCTTTCGTTATTATGTCATAAAGGAGGTTTCCTAAAATCTTGTCAACTTGACTCATTTTAAACTATGTATGTACCTGCTATACGGTTTTCGAATTGACCGGTCAAATTTTTTTGTGTCAATTGACCGAAATAATTTTTAAAATGCAATAAAATTTATATTTATTAATTTTTTTATATTATATATTCATTTATATTATACGTTACGTCGTGATCTCGTCGTTCTGAGAACTAAATAGGGTGGATATTTTTATTGGGATATTAGATATCACAAACGCATAATAATTTATTATAAATTGCATATTATTATTAAACAACTGTTATTTAAAACATTTTGATCGAATTTGACTAGTCAATTAAGAAGTCGGTCAATTGACCAGTGAATTAAGAAGTGGTCAGTTGACCAGTCCCAACACTAAACTGCTACATTTACATTTTAAATTCACATAATAAACTTAATACTCTCCTTACTTGAAAATAAACACGTTTTCTATTTCGTCTTAAAAAGTTGGGCAACGTGTCATACAAAAATATCTAGCAATTTATTTTTGTATTGCCACGCTTTTATGGAACGCAATGTTAAATTTTTAAATTAAAATGTTTTTCGATTTTATACAACACCTACAAGACAGGTTTTTTCCAAATAGTGATATATATATATATATATATATATATATATATATATATATATATATATATATATATATATAAATATATATATATATATATATATATATATATATATATATATATATATATATATATATATATATATATATACTGTTCAGAACAGTACATTGGGCCGAAATGGGTGATTTCCGCGAAGAGGTGTAGCGTATAATTCCGATCGAACTTCACTTACCAGGTAAGTTCGTTTGATTATCGAATTATTTGTTACACTTTTTCTATGAATTCAATATACGTAGACTTTCAAAGGCAATTCAGCAATCATTCTCTTGGCTTCTTCAGAGCTTGAAACTGACTCGTCAACGTAAAAAAGATTCTACGCCATCTATGGTTCGCAACCTTAAATCTGTTATTAAGGCTCTATCAGACTCCGTGAAAAAATCTGTCACCCCATGATTATAAAATTCCTCGTCTCCACGGACTCCCAAAGATCCGCAAACCAGGATTACCCCATCAACCTACTGTCAGCACTATTGGTTCTCAAAGATATTCTCAAGCTAAACATCTAGTTTCCTTATTAAACCCCTTTATAGGGAAAACTGATACTTTCGCACTTACTTCATTGAACAATTAAAAAGCATTACATTAGATACAAAAGATATTCTAGTCAGTTTCAACTAACCAAAGTTCCTATTCCTGAAACTCTGAACATCATTTCAGATATATTAACATCCGAGAATCTAGAACCAAACCTTCTCACCTTAATCGAAAGATGCTTGTCTGGAACATATTTTTCTTATAAAGGTCAAACTTTGGAACAAATATCGGTAAAAGCTATGAGTCCTTCACTATCACCAGTCATCGCGAATAAATTTATGGAGCATTTGAGAAGAAAGCTCTAGACACCTTTCAACTAAAACCAAAATTATTCAAACGTTACGTCGATGATACTTTTGTTATTTGGCCTCACGGTCAAGAAACCCTAGATTTCTTAGCCATTTAAACGATATACACCTTAACATACGTTTTACCACTGTTTGGAAACTAATAATAACTTTCCATTCTTAGATATTCTTAAAACTAAAACTCTTGCATGTACTTTCTTCTACCAACGAAAAATCCGAGAGTCTATAGAAATATATAAACAACCTAACAATCTTAACCGCGACTCAGGCCTCTACCTGTCACCAATATGGGTGGGAATCAGTCATCCGAGACGGTGTTTATGCTCCTCATAATGAGAGTCAATTTCAGTCAAGCTCTGAAGAAACCAACAGGATGATTGGCGAAACGTCAGCAAGTTCGACTCAGCAAAAACAGACGCAGGAGGAATCCAGAAGTTTTGTCAAAAATTTTAACATAACAAAAGTATAACATTATTTCCCCTCAGGGACTGCCTTTAGCTTTGCCTTGCATGGTCACCTTTTTGTCTTCATTATAACAGTTTTCCCCGCGTCTCAAATCCTAAGATAAAAAAATTGGACTTAAATATATGTAATTACTTAGTCTGAGATCATTCTAAACAATTGATGCATACCAGAGCAGTTCCTCGCCATTTCGCTACCGCGGAAAACCCGTTCACTATCGTGAACATTTACGCAATACGAACCGCATCATACCGCAAACAAAGCAAATAACCAGAATGAAATTCAAACCCCTGCAGTCTCGAAGCATCTGTTTTTCGTGTTTTTTCCTCGTACTTACTATCGAACGCTACACAAACACATATGCACAGGCTGGACTGTTTTGTTTGTGTTAATTTGGCCGCTTCTGTTTGCCAACCAACGCGCAGAATAACAATAAAAATTTTACCACGCATTGCGATCGAATGTTATGTGTGTGTCGTCGGATTGTGAATCATCGTCGGTTGCCGACAGCCAAAGTCACGTCGTTGTCGAGTCGCTATGGGATATTTTTTAATTTGTGGGACCGCGGACGAGGAAATTTTATGTCGTCGATTAGGAAGGTTTAGTTTCCGATTTCGCTGTTGAAATTTCAGAGAAAGCCATTAGATTAAACAAAATTTAAGGGGTCCTGATATTGGAACTGAAAACTTTCTTTGCAGCACGCCATAATATATCCTAAAATGGATTACCCAAATTGGTTGCCTTTTATGAAATAAAAAAAAAAATAAAAAATTTGAATAAAATATGCTATTTGTGCTGTCATCGTTCTTTAAAAGCAGAGGTTTCAACAAATGGTAAAGTTTTTCATATACGTGCAATTTGCATTTGACAAAACCGGCAGAAAAAAATTTGTATAACTGACTGGTCCGTTGCCAGCAAACGTAAATCTTAAAAAAGGGATTAAAACCTATTCTTCGCATATGACAGCTAATTCTTACACTTCCTACATAATTTGTGTTATTCTATAAAATAATCGCTTTTTCTGATCACTTTATCTGGATTTCCACTAAATCTCCACGACTTTTTATTATTGTACAGAGCAACCAAAATAGTTGTAAATATTCTTTTAGATAGCTGTTTGATCATGCATTATATGGATGTCCCAGTAAAGGAAACGAGAAAAAACGGACGCAAAATTTTGGCTGGAAATTATTTTCGAGTTTCTGAAGTAGCCATTTTAACTGTGGTTTAGAATGTTTATTGAAACCGATTTTTCAAATTTAAGATAACAATTACGCCCGCTGGTGGTCATTCCAGAAATTCGAAAATAATTTCCATCACTTGGCCGAATAGATTTTTTGTGGGACATTGGGTATATCTAAGAGTTTTGTTTGTTTGCGTGAAATAAGTTGATTATTTTCTCACGGTTAAATTATGACCGAATATATTTTGCAGAACATACCCGCGTCTCATCACAAATGTAAAATTACTCTAAAACATTGGCTACTGAAAAACTAAAATAATTTAAAAATATTATAAGGGCATATTTAAATCAACTAGTAAATTTCGAATGAGCCTAATCTCGGGGTCTCGACTACATGATCGATGGGTTCATAATTATAACGTCAAGAGGTGATGACGCAAATAAGGGTATCTAATACCAGATACATTTTTTAATCTGTTGGCACAACACTTTCAGAGTTTTAGGAATGGATAACAAATAATTAATGTGGATTAGGTATTCCTTGGACCAGTCTGTAGTCCATTTGCATATCTAATGAGATTTTATTACTCTACACCTTTCCTAAACTATTTCTGGATTCCATTCACAAAAATATTTTTTGGTTACGAAGGCTGTCCAAATTTCCCAATCAAGCCCATCACTTTGGAGACACTCGGTAAGTTAATATTGTTAAAAAAATTTCTCCGAATTCATCCACCTTCGTCGATTAAAATGCACGAGGCCGTTTCCTCCGCGTAGTTATAAAGCGAGAGCAAAAACGGTTCGAATTAGATCGTTCGGTGGGCGACGGCGCCTACGAAGGAAAAAAAATTGCGCGGCGGCGCCACAGACAGCGACAAAATAACACCCGACCGATCCAGCGATTATCCTCCGGGAGATAGAGGGCGGAGCCTCACCTTTAACAGTGTAATCACAACGTTAAGGGGCAAGCCGCATAAAACTAAAAATAAAGCGTTTCGGGAATATGTTCCGGCATTGCTAGCTATCAAGGGTCTTTTTTACGTTATTCCCATTTCATAAAACATAGTCTATTGCAGACCTAGGAGCGTTTTGCACACTGCAGATCCAGTCACTGCAGAGATGGGAAAATTCAACAACATTCTCATAGTGTTGAAAGTAAAAATATTTTTCTATTCCATTCCGTAAAAAACCTAATTATAAACAGATCTAGCTTGCGGAAAGTGTCATTTTACGATGTCAGTTTTATTTCCTACGGCTGCCAGCCGCTTTGGACATTTCCGAGATATCACCACACGAATTTAGAGCAATCGCTTGTTTTCGGAAATAATACCCACTTCTTGAATTTGGACGTAATATTTTATTTCGCTTATTCTGATATCGTCTTCTGATATTCTGATATACATTTCAATTTCAATCACTTGAAACGAAAAATTTCGTTTCTTTTGCATAATAAGCGACTATTGAATTAACGCTGTTAAAAGATGAATTGTAAATAAAAATCAAAACAGGAACAAAGTAAAGTAAAAACCATTGAAGTTTGCTTGCACATAAAGTGAAAACTGTTCAATAAATCGTTTAAAAGATTAATTATAGAGAGAATCAAAATATGAGACAGTTGATACGAGTCAGACGAATGGGTAATTGGGAACCGAGAAAATGAAGAAAATTCTTCGTTTTTTTTTTATCTACGTGGTTTGTATCAGTATAGGGTAGGCGCATTTGAAGTGTATTAACAAGAAAAAAATCTATTTCTGAATTAAATAGTGCAAAATCGACTTGCATGCCATGGACTTGATTCTTAACAACTATTTAACAGAGAAAACCGATGGCGATATTTTCACTACCAACCGGAATATAAGGCCTAATTCAATTTTAGATTTAGATTTCTTTCAGTATTAATTAAATTATTCTTAACGTATCCCTTCCTTTTACATAAACAAAAAAGATCTTAATCCGCCATTTTTTATGACAGATACCAAGAACCATGTATGATTGAAGAGTAATCAACACGCGTATTTTTTTTGAAGACCATATGAAATAAAAAGTTGCATTCATTTGTTGAAAGGAGCACTTTGACTCAAAACCAGTGCCTTAATAATGCTTTTAACCGAATCAGAAATTAAATTCAAAAGTTATCGAATCTTTAAAAACGTCCTATATATGTCGGCTAGCTTTGAAATGTATATTCTATCAAAAATACTCCTGTAAGGACCACCCAGTACGAGGTAGACAGATGATTAGTTTTCGCACAATTACTACAGTTTGAATTTTCGGCGTCTACTCATCAGGGATGGTCCGATTTTGAAATTAAAATTGGCCAACCTTTTTTTCCTTGACTTATAATAGTTTGTTAGCTCTCCGTTGCAGTTTTATAAAACAAAGGAGATTTTTAACGTTAAATTACAAAAAATACAATTAATAATTCGCAATACACATATAGCAGCTCCTAAATAACTACTTACGTGACATTGGATATTTCTACGGTAGCTAGTGACCTAATAATGGGCACCACCTTATCACAGTGCAAGAATATCCTCACCAACGGCTGCGCTATCTCCACCTTGTTAATTATCTCACCCAGGATGTAGACGGACGTGGCGGTTATAGGCTGTTAACAAAAACTTGTAGAAACGTCTACCCATTTACCTTTTAATAGAATAAAAAAGACAAAAATTTACCATATTCGATAACCGATGTAAACAAAACTAACCAACTAATTCAAATAAAAATTAATATTACCTTATCAATATTTTTTAAAGCGTTTTGGAAAGTTCGATACGTGTTTGTCAAAGTATCTACTAGTGAAATTTTACAGCAACAAAGTAAAACACATTATGATGTATGTATATGAGCTGATACTGTTTAGTTTTCTTTACTAGGTAGCACGGTAGTCAAAAGACCAAAATTTTATCATAGAAGATCGATATAATACTCCGTTTACAACTTATACAATGTTCTAGACGCGCGTTGCTCTTACCCAGTGAACATAATCAGTAGATAATATAAAAATGAGAATAATGAAGGTCCTTATTTCCAATAATAAACAAAAACAAATAAATTTAGAAAAAGGCGAGCTTCAGTTCAGGTTCCCTGACCTGTTCTTATACCTAACGTGAAAACTTAAGGCCTAAGAAATGCAGAGGGCAGATGTGACAATTAAGAAAAGGTATCATACACAATGAAATCTTTATCTTTAATATAAACGGTTCATATTGGTTGGCAGATGGCGCTTCTACGAGGTTGCAATAGTTGAGGTTGTATCTCAGCATTTAAAGAATAACAGATTCTGAAGAAAAAAAAACATCTAAAACTGACCTGTGTGTGTATACTTTGGAGTAGCAAATTCCTTAGATTGTCGTAAACCGACGCTGGAAATACCCTGTCTTCCGTGTACTGAACTTGCAGCCTCAACGAGCCAAGGCTGTTATCGTTAGACAGTCTGGTACCGGGCGGAGTCGAGTGGGTCAAAAAGGGACGGTTTTTACCAGAGCGGGGTTGAAGGAAGTACCTGGAATAAAAAAATGCACTTGAAAACTCCGGCATGCAACGAATTAAATATTAATATGTCAACGAGTTTGAATTATAAACAACCGACGCAGAAGGGATCGAGAATATTTGTAAATATTGATATCAATTAATTCCCCAGGAAATTTTTGAATATGATTTTGATGTTGCTTCAATTATTAAGGCTTATCTATTAACTATTAAAAAATAATTACTATACAATAGTATTTTCTGGAAATATGCAGCACGATAAAATCAAAATCCCCGTTGCGTAGGGTCAATACGATAATAAAACATCTAATTTATGAGAGAAGCGCAATTAAAAAAAAAAAGGTGCGAAATTTCAATTACGCGAATCAATGCGAAATCCGAAAACCTTAAAAATAAACCGAATAAAAGTTAGAAGAGTAAATCAATGCAAGCGTTAAAACGAAAACTCTCTCAGCCTTCTTATTTCACGCGAACTAAATATGATAAATTTCGGCGATGACCTTTCTACTCGGAGGAAAATCAATACGAGTGACGTCACACACCATTTTCCCACGGCCGTTTTACTGCAGGGGGAACGTCTGAAAGCTTCTTGACGTCATAGATATAGCAAGGCAACACGCTTGAATTGCCCGGTTTTTAGGGGTTTCTGTTGATAGGAACAGTTTGACGATCAAGCTGCTGATAATTTTTGTTTACTAAATTACTCAATGGTGCGCTACTCAATGTCAACTTCGTTAATTACTAGCCAATTCGAAAGTCCTGTATTTTAGTCACGGATTGGGTGGGATAGGATGTTTTCGGTAGGTTGAAAATATTGATAGTATTTTGACGTTTGTCGGTTCCGCTGGTTCTGAATTCACCACGTCACACAGACAATTATTATCCCTGTTTTCCACGTTTTACCTCTATTTTCCTTGCATGATTATATGGAGCAATTCATATTTATTTCTCATTACATGAGCAAAATAATCCAGCTTTCTTTGTTTTCCACATGTTGCAGAACCGCTATCCACCCATGATATCTTCAACATTCTCCGGTAAGCCCACATTCTCCACAAAGCCTCAATCACCTTACACATTGTTCCATTACGGATTCATGCTTCCATACTGTAGAATAATATGCTAAAGACATACCAACGCAATAATCATATTCTTAAGGGAATTCTTAAGGCTCTGTTGCTTAACACATTTTACATGTTCTTGCTTGCTCTATTCCGTTTTTCATTTCTTGAGTTGAGTCCCAGTTTTCATTCACCCAGCACCCCAAATGCGTTAAGTTATTAGTTATGTTTTTGTTTTTGCTGATGCCCATCCATTTGGTTTTCTTTATATTTAAAGCCTAGACCCATTTGTTGGCTATGGTCTGTTACCGCTGATACAAGTAACTATAAATAACCCTTATCTGTTGTTAGTGAGACCGTGTCTTCGGCGTATCTTAAATTGTTGATGACGATTCCATTAGCAATTACACCCTCTGTTCTTTCTTCGAAGGCTTCCCTAAAGTTTTTTTCTGCATATAAATTAAACAAAAGGGGGGAGAGCACACATTTCCTCTAATAACAGGCACTTCTTCAGATGTCTGGCCGTTAACTCTTATGTCAGCTGTCTGGTTCCAGTATAAGTTGGCTATTATCCGAATGTCCCGACCTTCAGGCCTATATTGTTCAGTATAACTATCTAGACATCACTTTATAAGAACCTGGATGCTAAACAGCGCCTCTCTTGTACCGAAAGATGACCTGAGCCAATTTTTAGGAATTATCCTGGCTTAACTTAACAGAAGTGTGCTATTTTCCCCCAACGTTTTCAAGACCTCTATTTGTATTTCGTCTGGTCCTGGTGCATTTCCATTTTTTACACTTGATATAGTGTGTATGAGTTCTGCATTGGAGTTATCCATCCCGTCTTCTGGAGTAACATGTGAAGTACTCCTATTGTCGCCGAAGAGATTTTCAATATATTTTTTCCATAAGAATTTGTATTGATCATTCATGAGACTGTTTTTGTTGTTCTTTTTATGTTGACCGGACGTAATAGCGAATTTATTTCATTATAAATTATTTATTATCAGTTATTTCGGTTGACGTGAAATTTCGTACATCCTTTAAATGGACATTTTGGCCAATCAACAGCAAATAAGCATTGAAGGATTATTCAAAAATCAAAATCAAACTGAACTAGGTTTTAAAAATTCATCCGAATTATATTTGACCGCACCGCAATTTTTTTGCCACGTTGCAATAAACCAACGTAAAGAGACTTTAAACAAACAGAGATCCCTAAAAGGGGAACGCCGAGGCGACGCCTCGTATTAATTACGTCCGGATATCCTTCGGGTCTATAAAATCGGGCGTCGGCACAACCAGCTGACAAAGTTAAATTTAACTCGATTATTATCGCGTCATATCCTACGAATAGCGCGTTTGTAGAAAAACAATATTGCTTATTAATCGTTTCCGGTTTCGCGTTCATAAGGCTTATTTGATATTATCCACCGGACATTTGAAGAGTTTTTCAATTTGGATTATTTGATTTGCGTCGGCGGTTTGGTCAGCGCTAATATCACAAAAGGAAAAACTACATGAACCTAAATATTTTTTTTTCTTTACAATTTTATACCAATGAAAATACCATAATAAAAAATTATATATTAACATTTAGTAATAGTACTATTAAAATACTGTCCTGTACGCTTTTACAGCCAACAGTATTCAGTTCCAAACGGCACGAGTTTAGGGAAAATTGAGGTAGTATGAAGTATACAAGACTCCTCAACAACAGATCCCTCAGTTGAATGTGTTTTATAATGCATTTACCCAAACACCTGCCCAGATGTCTGACAGAAGGTCAGAATTACTCACGTCCTAAAGAAGGGAAAAGCATCTGATATCTGATATCCAATTACAGGTCTGTATCGATAATAACACCTTTTACGAGGGCATTCGAGATATCGCCGCATGATAGTATTTTCAATCAAATGAAACACTTGGTAACCCACAAACAACATGATTGCTTTAAAGGTCGAAGCACCAACAGTAATTTGGCTTGCATTACAGAATTCACTGCTAAGGCTTTGGACGAAGTCCGTGCTATACACGGACTTTTCAAAAGCTTTTGACCAGGTGGACCACACTGTACTGCTCTCTAAACTGAGGATGCTTGGATTATGTGATGATCTGGTGGCAGTCAGATCTGCATAACAGAATACAGTATGTAGCAGTAGTAGCTAACAAGTAAGTAGCAAATTTTGCTCTTTGCTGATGATGTGAAATTGTTTAGAATAATTGATAGTGTGGTCGACTATGTGTCTCTGCAGAATGATTTGGAGATTGTTGGTGTGTTTCTAATAACCTACCCCTCAATACAGATAAATGTGTCGCAACTACATTTTCAAACAAAACTGATACCACCAATAACCTTCGTAATCAAATAAAATCGTAATCAAATTGATTATGTCAGTGGACATGTTTTCTTTTTTGGATTGATCTGACTATCTGACTATCTGAACCTGAACAGAGAGCCTGTATATTAAAGTCCTTTTCATATATAACGGTACATTAAGTGTCGTTTCTAACATATATAATATTAAACGGCAAAGAAATTTACCTTTAAGAAAGTTCTTGTAATTACAAATGAGTAAATTTCTTCTCTCATATAAAAGCTGTTTGTTCCATATTATAGTTTTCACATATTCTGCTATGTGGTGAATAGCAAGTTGGAGTTCTGGAAAATTCATTCTCGGATCAGGAAACATTCAAAATTGGAAAATGGAGTTCATAGGCCCCTTTAAGAGAGGCGAATTCACCTGGTTTTGTTGTTGTGAAGTTCTTAATGCAGAAAATCTTTTCAGTAAAAGTTAAAGCGAATTCAGCTTCAAACTACCAAAACTAACCGAAACGAACAATTGGGTAATGAAATCACCTTCGAAAGAGCATTTAATTTTGTGTTTGACAGAAACTCTGTGCCAAATACTGAATCGATGTCACACCTAAACCGACAAGATGTGCCTGTCAGTAAAGAATTGCAGGTTTGAGGTGCTGAAAGGTGTAAACAAAATCCATTTCAAAAATGCCTAAGCGAACTTTATGTGCCGTTCGAAATGCCGTATTCGATGCCAAATACCTATTCGGTAGTTAATGCACTAAATGTAATGATTAGTACAGCGAAAAATTCCCAAAAAAAAACTTCCAGAACGTGAAGACCGCATTTTAACGATAATTAACCGTGCCCAGACCAGTGAAATTTCCAATGATGAACGGGAATGAATGGAAACCTCACCGCGAGACCGGCAGATAACAACATCCAGCGTAATTTTTCTCGTACCTATTTTATCGAAATTTTATTTATGCTTACGCCTAGATTGTATTAGCGGAGTGAACGGATATACATGCCGGCGGCAATAAAATCCCACGCGGTTTCATTCAACAATTCAACATCGAACGACTGACATCATTCCCAATTGCCTATTATATTATTTACGGCGCGATGTTGCCAAACAACATTTTCCATTTTTTTCTTTAACGGATAAAAGTGTGATTGTGTGATTTGTAAAATATCTTGAGTTGACGGCACGAACACTATATTTCTATTTACATCTGAGACTTCACCAAGATTCATACAGTTGTAGTTACTAGTAGACATTTTCTTCGACCAGTTAACCCTGCAGAAGAGTGGAAATTAAATCAAAACCTCATTTTTTTTCGACACATTGTTAACATTTTCTTAATATTAAGTGCTAGTTTGCAAAATTCACTACATAGACATTTTGCACACTATACAATATAAAACACAATAAGTCTTACCAGCTTTATATTTAAAAAATAATTAATTCATGGACATTTCCTTATTTTACAAAAAACTTAACTATATGACAAAGTATATCATATATTAGGTAAAAAGTAAATAGAGAATCAAGATCGACAGAACAAAAAAAACAGACTAAGGACTATCGCTAGATTAAGGAGGGTTTAGAACAGTTTTATTCTAACCGACATCTAAAAAAACTGCTATACA